GTGTTTATGTATAAAGCCAGGAGCAATTTATTACCTGGTGGAATTCAAAAACTATTTAATGAAAGGGAAGGGGGATACAATTTAAGGGGTCAGTTAAATTTAAAAATTCATGCTATACGTACAACCAAAAAAAGATTCTGTATTTCTATAAGTGGGGTAAAACTATGGAATAATTTAAGTGTGGACATAAAAAATAGTAATAGAATTGATGAGTTTAAACATAAATATAAAGGTATGTGTCAATCAAGATATATGCAAGAACAGGCTTAATGATTAATTAGATGGAACATTGTGGGTGTGGTGTATGAATGTTAACACTTTGTAATAATTCTTTAGTATATTACTTGTGTGGTGTAAAAGATAATTATTTAAGAATGTAATTATGTAAGAATGTTAACACTCTTATTTTTTTAGTATATTACTTGTGTGGTGTAGAAGAGAATTATTTATGTAGAGATAGGTATAAGCACATTGATATTGGATTAGCACTTGTTGGATATGTTTAAAATTATGTGTTGACATATCAACTGTCTTTATAAGAATAAATTAAATCAAATTAAATATAGAACAAACTGAAGTTGTGAAAGATTCATCTACGTGTACTGCATAAAACAATAACACAAAATCATAGTGAATATACTAAGCACATTATATTAGAAATGTTATTGAAGATTTTAGCCACACTAACAGTTTAAAAGGCTTTTGTCACTCATTTTAACACCGCAGTTCAGGAAGAAATATATCAAAAATATTGGATGAATGGATTTCCATGACATTTTGTAGACGGGCACTCTGAGAATTAAGCTTATTGTCTTTGAGGATCCCCTGAATAGTTTCATCAGTCAAGTCTATTTAATCTGATCAAAGATGGTAGCTAGCAAGCTACAAATTCAGTCCACACTGAGCTGAACTTGACTGCATTTTCACCTGTGGGCGAAATATTTTTGGCAATGTCTAAAACATGGTTCATTTCCCCTTATCTCTTCCACATAAGATGGATAAGTATCAGCAAGCACAGATTTGTTTCAGATTATGTTGACCAGGGGAACAAGAAACTGTCACATAACCGGTTTGAAAATAGGAACCAGTTACGACTTCACAGGAATTTTTCACCTGTGAACAAAACAGCAAGGGGTGTGGTTATCCAGTGAGAGGGCAAGCAGGGTGGGTCTTCTGCTTAACTCTTTCTCTCTTACTTCCTGATCTCTGACTACTGCCCAGATATGTGGAGTTACAAACAGAGTGTAAACAGTAGTATTCTGGATCTCTGACACCCCAGGACAGGAAATAATATCTTACAGCAAAGGTAAGACTCTGATAACAATGAAGACATGTTATACTCTCTCGCTGTTGTCAGATCCAGGTAGAGTGGATTTGGGGACAGCACTCAGTAAAAATAAGGCGACTACTGAAGCAGAAAAATGAGCAGGGTCTCCACACACAGAGACAGGGATTTCTGCAGATTTCACTTAGATCACAGTGTCACTGATTCAGATTAATAACAATGGGGAGACCTAGGAAAAAGTAACTGATTTTCACTTGAATGTAAGTGAGATTTTCTTCAGTCATGACCGCAGTTTCATTACACAGGAAGGTAAATGGATAACTAACTACCCCCTATGCTTCAGTCCAGTGAAGGTTGAGAGCATACAACTAAAGTCTGTGGGGAAAATATAGTGTCAAACAACTATAGGGTTAGAATAATGTTCTCCTTGAAATGTTGCTGCGACTGGTGTGTTTGTGTACATGTGAGTTGCTGTGAATACTGTCGCTGTGAATACTGACTCATATGTAACCATCTAACTCTGATAACTCTTTTTGTTGATATTTGCAATTGCTGGTGTAAAGCATGTTGCTGTGGCGATGTCTGACACCGCTCCTGCTGATAACTCTGCAAATATGCAAAGGTAAGGCCCCAAACATATCACTTAACACTCAAAATGTAAAACTTACATCTTAGCCTTACACAAGTATGTATGCAAACACACCCACACATACGCCCATACAGCAGCTTTTGTCATTTTTCTGGGAAATGGTCAAGCAGCATTTGAAGAACTGAAATTTCATGGGAAAACAAACATGTTTGACCAAATGACCTTCACTGTGGTTTACAAAAACCAACTTCAGTATTGGCTCTCAGCTGATAGACAGTATGCAGCCATGCCCCTCTTGATTTACTGTACGTAAACAGTGATTCCACACCTATTATGTAACAGTTACGGAGAACAGCTGATGGCTTTTCCTAAAAAAAATATAGACCATGGTCATTTGTTTGCTGTTGTTGTTGTTTTTTAACCCTGTAAAGCCCAGCATATCAAAAAATAGCCAGAACATTCTAATTTTTTGGAACTGAGATGTTTATTAAACCTTTTAACAAAATCCAAAATATAATTCATGATTCAAAATTCAAGATTCATGATTTTTATTTGCCATATATGCATAGACAGACAGTCCAGGCATATAGGAATAGAGGTGCCATATTATTTAGATTATTTCTATTTCTTTTGTATCACATTTGATACATGGGGCGTTTTTGGCAATTTTTTTTGCTCAGAAACTTCATGTATCAAATATGATACAAATTTAAGAGTGGATGAAAATTCTGCCTGTGATAGCATGTTCACACAATGTCAGAATGATCGTAAGATAATTATAAATCTAGATATCACTACCAGTTCATTTAAAATCATTATCATTTGTAAACCCATTTAATTTGTTTAACAAACTGTTAGTAGAAGTGGGGGTCTGTTTTTATGATCCTTAACAGAACACAAGGGTTAAAGTCTTCCAGGTTGAACTTGTTCTTGGCTCAACCATTGTGTAGTTTGGCATTGCTGAAGTTCAGAATGTGAAATGTTACTGAATGACCCAACACACCCCACAGTCCTCCTCGACTGTCACGGTTTTTGGTTGAGTTGGTATATAGACATTTTTTATAGTCAGAATTTGTTCACTGTCACATCAGCACTACAGCTGCAGACATGATGCATGTACAGTTTGTTACAGGCATGGGTGTGAATTGTTTGCATTTTGCGTGTTTATTCTGGGTGAACCATGACAGGACTGTTACAACTGTCTGTCTTCCAGGTTGAACTTGTTCATGACAAGTCTTTTGAGTGGGCGTGTTTAAAAAGTTTCACTGAACTGCATTGAAAACTCTGACACTGAGTCATGTGGACATGATGTCATGGATAATGGCAGAAACTTTGAATGACAAGTCATTATATATTTAAAGGCTGAGCAACTTTGAGCAATGCTTATAAGATGAAAATGGTTTTGTCTTATTTATTCCTAATTGTATTACCCCCCCACCCCACCCCCCACCGCTTCTTTTTTTTGCTATCTCTTCCAGCTCAGGATTGTCACAAATTCACAGATCTGAATTTCGGTCATGCGTTCATGGGCACCAGCACGAAAATTAGGTTGTTGCTGTACACCAGGGATAAAGCCACCTGTGGTACCCTTGTGTCCCACTCCAACCTGTCTGGCCATCCCCAGTTCAACTTGTCGAGACCTACCACCTTCATCATTCATGGGTACCGGCCCACGGGATCCCCACCAGTGTGGATGTCCAAAATGACGGAGCAGCTACTGGCCAGGACGGACATTAATGTCATAGAAGTGGACTGGAACCACGGTGCTGCTAATTTAAACTACTTTAAGTCTGTGGAGAACACAAGGATGGTAGCAGCCAACCTCACTGCTTTCATTGGAATGATGCAGGTATGATATCTGACACTCTGTGACAACCACTGCTGTGTCTACATAGACATGTTGGCTATAACAAGCTTAATGACTCATCTTTTTAGGAACATGGGGTCTCTCTAAGCTCCATTCACATGATTGGAATCAGTCTAGGAGCTCATATATCAGGGTTTGTAGGAGCAAACCTGAATGGGTCAATTGGAAGGATTACAGGTAAGAGTGGCACATAAATTCAGACTGATCTGATCCAGAATTATTAAAAGTGGAACTGTTGTACCCTGTACTTTTTACCATACTGACTCTGAGAGACGAGACAGTCCAAGTAACTTCAAAACAGTGCTGATTTATTCAAAGGATCACAGGTAAAATTAACATTACACGCTCAAGTATCTTGCACCTCCAAACTGCTCGCAGGCAGATGTAAGATGAAAGACCCTGAACCCAACAGGCCTATACATTATATCACCTCGGTTGGGCTAGCCCCATACTACACAGAAACGTCAACCGAGACGTCTCCCGGTGCCAGCTTTGATTTTATTTGGATTTCGTCCTTGTTTCAATTCATACAACAGTATAAAGATGTGAACCTCATTTAAAGCTCAAGCCCCAATCAAATATGTTAGTTTTGGCTGATTGGCCAAGAGTCAGCATGAAGAAATCACAGGTTTCAATGATTCTATCTGAAATCCCCATGGAAAGCGTCTAAGGTGCCTGCAGCACAAGCAAAGTGCAGCAAAGAAAATCAGAACAGGTCAGGTCATCTTTTGTAACAGTTAAGAGTTTAGTCATATAAAACAGAAACCAGACATGATGGAGTCAAAATACTTCTGTGAGAGAAAAATAATAAAAGATTTCCAGAAAAGAGCAACACGTGTTTCTCAGATAAGTCAAACATGTTCGACAATAAAGATACAGCGCAGAGCAACGGTGATTATTTGTAAAGGTAAAAAAGCACAGAAAGGTCTAAATCTCTTTTATTTTTTATTATCTTTTTATTTTACCTAGTGAATTTAAAAACCTTATTTTTTTTTACAATACAGTGAAGTTTTCAGTTAGACCAAGCGTGCTATTTCCAGCTCCCATCAGTCACTTCAGAGTTTGAGATTAAATTTAAGGCTCTGCTGAAGTCTACTGATGTCGTGTTTGCAGCTCTGGATCCTGCAGGGCCTCAGTTTACTGGGACTGCTCCACAGGACCGACTGGACAAGGAAGATGCCCAGTTTGTGGATGTCCTCCACACAGATATGGATGGTGAGTTAAGCTCAAACAATGTATTATATATGATATATTTATAGTTATTGTATATTTTAGTCATTTATAATTTGGTTACATTTGTTATATACAGAGTTTTTCTATACAAAAGCATACAGATGATTTATACATGTCAAATTATTTATTTCTACATGCCTGCTGTGTGTTTGCAGCTCTGGGCTACAGAGAACCTCTGGGTCACATTGATTTTTATGCAAACGGAGGAGCAGACCAACCTGGCTGCCCGAAGACCATCTTTGCTGGTAAGCGCTGTAAAATTCTGGACTTGTGTTGAAAGGATTTGAACAATATGATGATAGTCCACTTTCTGCCTTACCTTTGTACAGGGGGAGCCTATTTTAAATGCGACCACCAGAGATCAGCGTTGCTCTTCATCGAGTCTTTGAATGGGACATGTGCAAGCACGGCCTTCCCCTGCTCATCCTACACAAACTTTTTGGATGGTAACTGCTTGAACTGTGACCAGTTTGGTGCTGCTGGATGTCCTGTCTTTGGTTTGTACTCTGTTTATTATACATTAAACACATTGTTAAAGATTTATCTTCAAAATTAAGCTGATTGACAGTTATAAAAATCAACATTCATTGTCATGTGTAAGGAGTCCTCTGTTTTACAGAGGTTACATGTTGTTGTCAAGCTGATGCAGCTGTTTTACCCAAATCCAGGCTATGATGTCATACAGTGGAAAGATGTCCTGCTGAGGCTGGGCCAGACAACAACCTACTTCACAACAAATGAAAAGTCTCCATTCTGCAGTAAGTAACAAAAAACTGGACAGAAAGCAGAACCCCTTGGTCATGTTGTGTTTATTTAGAAGCTTGGCCTGCCAACTAGGGGCCCATGCTTTTCCACAGAATGTATGAAGAAACCGATTTTTTTTTTTTTTTAAATGACGCAAGAAATGTGAAACGTGTGTCTCACCCCTAAAACGAGTAATGACTCGGAACAAGTCAAACAAGATCCAATACACAGCACACTAATAGTTTTATGTGCTAAAACAACCTCAACAACTAATCATAAATACTGTATGTTCTTAAAGCATCCTAAGACCGTGTCCTGTCAGTAGAGCAATTATATCATACAGAATGTCGACTCTTGCCTTTGTCTATTAGAGTCACTGTGCATGTACCGCTGGTGTCATTTCCAACAATTCTTCCCTTTGAACTCTAACTACAACTTGCCAGCAGTTCAGAGTGTTATGGTTGCTCGGACATGGGTATGAACGAGCAAAGAAAAGATAGACCTAGGTGGCTGACTTCGGTGCAAGTAGTGTCACCGAAGTCAGCCACCTAGGTCTAAGTAGTGTGGGATTTATTTACAGTGCGAATTTCAGTGAATAAAACAGACAGTTGCAGTATGATAAAGAGTCACCGGGTGTTGATCTGTGGCAGTGGGAAACAGTCGATGGTGAGATGGATGGTTATAAGTCAGGCTGCGGACGCTGGGGTCACTCCTGAACTGATCGTGGTTGAGGTGATGATGGCTGAGGAGACAGGAGCATGTAATGACAGTTAATGGAGACTGTGCATCAACCTGTATGGTGGAGACTGGTAGGGCTGAGTAGTTCCAGGGTCCAGAGGAGAGGTCCATAGTCACAAAAAGAATGTACTGAAAGTAATATGGAGACGAGGAGACAGAGGGTAAAAAAGATTCAAAGAGGCAAAATGACTAGACTAAGCGAAGGTAAAACTGTAGGACTAGAAAGAAAACAACAAGCAAAGAGGCCTGAGAAAATGGATTGAACTGGCAAATCAAATCAAATCAAATTTTATTTGTATAGCGCCAAATCACAACAAAAGTCATCTCAGGACACTTTACAAAGTAAGGTCTAGACCTTACTGTTATCAATATTATTACATAGGGAAAACCCAACAAATCCCCCTTGAGCAAGCACTTGGCGACAGTGGGGAGGAAAAACTCCCGTTAACGGAAGAAACCTCCGACAGACCCCGGCTCTTGGTGGGCGGCCTTCTGCCTCGACCGGTTGGGGTGAGTGGATAGAGGAGAGACAAAAGAAGAAAAGCAACAAGACACAACAATCAAACACTGATCAGGTCGATGTGGCCGGTGACTGCTATTCAATTAAATTTTATTTGTATAGCGCCAAATCACAAAAACGTCATCTCAGGACACTTTATAAAGTAAGGTCTAGACCCTACTATTATTAATGTTATAGAGGAAAAAGCAAATCCCCCTTGAACAAGCACTTGACGACAGAGGGGATGAAAAACTCATTTTAAAGGAAGAAACCTATTTTTAAAGGTAGAGAGGTTGTCCGCCTCCCGAACTGAGACTGGGAGTTGGTTCCATAGGAGAGGAGCTTGATAGCTAAAGGCTCTGCCTCCCATTCTGCTTCTGTGGACTCTAGGAACCACAAGTAAACCTGCACTCTGAGAGTGAGGCAAGGGAGTGAATGGCGAGTAGGGTATATATAGGGAGGAGACTAATAAGGTGCAGCTGGTGATACAGGGGAAATGGGGCAGGTGTGCTGGATAGTGTAATCAGGGTGAGGAAGCAAAACTAAAGTGAGAAAAGCAAGAGAGGAAGGTGCAGCCGGGCAAACCTGACACAGAGGAAAGAAATTATCAAAATCAATTTGAGTGGTTATTGCTTAATCCCATTTTTAGCAGCTAAACAATATGATATAGTAAAGTTACCTTGACTTTCTGTCTTCAGGTTACAGTTTGGTGTATATTCAGGTGCACAAATAAACACTTCAGTGAAGTTTTCAGATGACTACAGTTGCTACATATGCACTACAGTAGTATATCTGGATAAACTGTGGATTCACTGACTGTGGATTTGTCTTTGACTGTGGATCTTTATTTGTAAAGCTGCACGTTCTGGATGAGTTCAAGGATGGACTGAGTAAAAATGGCAGCCTCCTATAGATCCTATAATGCAGAGCGTAAAATAACTGAAAATGAATTACAACTTCATAGACAGTATTTCATCTATAAGGCTGATTTGAGCTGAAAAACTCCAAAATTGTAGGTTCTTTAGTAAATGCCATTTTCATGAGAGTTATCTGTTCTAAAAGAAAGTATGATTTATTTCAAAATGGTGGATATATTTATGTCTTCTCTTAGCCACAAACTACATATTAGACATGGTGATATGGAACATGAAGGAACGGTGGGGATACATCACTGTTAAACTTTACTATAACGGTACAGAAGCAGTGGCAACCATTGACCAGTAAGTCTTCTCTCCATTTTATACAATATTCCACTTTTTCTTGTCTCTCTGTCACTGCTTTCCTGTCAGTAAAGTTGCTTTTTTTTTATTAGTAAAGCATCAAAGTTCAAGAAGTACACAGGGACCAAGCTGTTTGCCCAATTTGACAAAGACATTCAGTCGGTGGAAAAGATGTCTCTCAAATTCTCCACTGGGAATGTATTCAAGCCAAAATATAAGCTCCGCATCCTCCGAATCCGTCTCACACATCTGGAACACAAGAAAAGGTGAGCAATGCATACTGATCCTTAATAAATTTGACCTATTTGATCCATTAATTTCAGCCATATTCACTAGCTAAGTAATCCCTTACTTTCCAGGCTCTAGATTAACATTAATACTGGCTTTACCCTTTACAGGCCTCTCTGTCGATACGATATCGTTCTTGAGGAGGGCAAAGAGGTCACCTTCAGGCCCATCCCCTGTGAAGAATCTAACTTCTGAGACAAAATCAGACCTCATCATATAAATTTCATTGCTCATACTGGAAGAACGTCTGGTGATTAATCAGTACCTCCAGGATTTTACAGGAAAATGCATAAATAGCATATCAATAAGCACTAACCTGCGAGCCAAATATTTACTGGCACAATGATCATCTGTGAAAATTAATGTGATATACTACTGTATATGATGTATATATATTTTTAAGAGAAAAATCTTTATGAAAATGTAATCCTTTTAAAACCCATTTTACTATTTACATTTCATTCATGGTGAACATTAGATAATGGGAAAGATTTTTATGCTTGTGAAAATGTATCTCAACTTAAGATGAAGTTATCTCAGTAATATTTTTATTTTACTACACTAGTAGTAGCTTTACTTTATATTTATTTGTGTATATGAAGTCATTCTTTATACTCAGTCTATTTTTTTTTTTTTTTCAAATCAGCTCCACAATGTTCCGCTCCAGCATTTTTAATAAATTCACAAGTTCCCACACATCAGCAACCAATAAATTAACTGACAACTTGGTTGTCTATTTTTTTTTAATACACAAAAAGCAAACTATCATATTTTTGAAAATTATATGCATCTATAATATACTTTGTGTTTTTGCCTCAGCATCACAGTATTTATGACAAATGATAGCTCAGCTCTCATCTCTGAAGACTAACTGCTGGCTCTCACTTCCCATCCTCCTCTCTGGCTGTTTCACCATCACGTTTTCTACATGACTGGATAAAGGAAAACTGACTGATTACCCCACCGTGGGATGCTAAAGATGCCATAACCCAGAGGAAAGTCAACAGATACGCCTCGGCGTGATGCTGGCTCAAGGGGCAGTGTGTTTTGCAGGTTATCACCTCGTCTGCCTCCACTATGCCTTATCTTTGCACTTTTATGTACTGTAAGCCCATGTAGCAGTCCAAGAAATGATCACCTAAAAGAAATGTTTCTTCATAAAACTTCTCTCCTAATGTTTTTATCAAAAAGAAGAAAGAATGACTGTTTAAAACATTCATTTGTCAGACAAGTCCACAACAGGACCTTAAAAATATTTTTGCCTGAAAATGAAGTTCTCTACTCCACTCATTTAGACATGTGCTTCTTCATACGCTGAATCTCCATCTGAAACCAAATAATGCAAACAATCAAACCATGAGTGCACTTTCTAGACATTAAGTGCATTATCCCAGTTTAAAACAAGTGAAGAATAGTTTACAGCATCTATTGTCATACCTGTAAAGTCAAGCGAATCCTTTTCTCCTCATCTAGCTCATTCATCAGGAGTTTAATTTCTTTGCTGGAGCACAAAATATTGTCAAATTAGTGCAGCAAGAAACAGATGGAAACTGTAACTGAGGTAGTGATGCAGGGGTGTCACCCGCCAGCCAGGCTGAGGCTGCGCCCATAAACTAATCTGACCAGAGATTACAGGAACAAAGCCGTACTTGTGCTGATTCTTCATCTGTTCAAACTTCTCCCTCAGGTCTCTCAGCTCTGTCTGCAGTTGTTCGAGGTTTGGTGACGTGTATTTTGCTAGATTTGTGCTCGGCTGTGGGTTGGAGCTGAGGCCCGGGGGCGATGGACACAGTACAGCAGAGAGAGCCTTTGGTAACAGAGAGGAGAAGGACTGTGTGGGCACAGTACTGGGTGCTGCTGTCTGTCAAGAATAACCCAGTGTTACTAGCTGACAACAAAACAAAGATCTGTGTATCAACGTGTATATGGGCCTTAGTTTTTCTTTGACACCTACAGGCAGGGGAGCATCATCTTGATTTGTTTCCTGAGAGTTTTCTTGAAGTGTTAAAGAATCCAGCTCTTCAGTCTGGTCCTCTTTTCTTTCCTCCATTTTTTTTTTATTTGATTTGATTGATTTATTCTTTCAAGCATGTAAAGACAGTTGATATGTCAACACACATAATTTTACACATATTCAACAAATGCTAATCCAATATCAATTTGCTTATACCTAGTACATGCTTGAATGGAGTAGGAAGAAATCAGACTTATCCAGTCCTACCCCATGACATCTTACCATCATTGGTTTGCAAGCAATAAATGATTCGCTTCTACCCACACACATATTATACTAAAAAAAGAATATAACAGTGTTAACATTC